GGTGATCAGCTCCCAGCTCCAAAAGCCAAGGACGAGAAATTGAATGACTGTGGAAGCTTGACGCTGGTCGCCAAGCTCGGGAACGATGAGATACTGACCAGGTTGACTCATGGTAAGGCGGACAAGTCTAGCAGAGCGATGTGCACGGGTAGCAGCAGGAAGGCCAAAAGCGGAGGGGGCGGTCAGATGCAAGATCATCCATTCATATTTTATAGCGGTGGAACGACTCAGCTGGACTCTCGCACATAGCTGGCTGTCTGACTGCTCGGCTAGAGCGCCGCGATAGCCAGGCTCTTGGGCTTTCCTCAGACTCAGCAGCTGCTATCTTGTATCGTCGGCGTCTCTAAAGACAATGCAATGGATTTGGCGCATGGTATGTATGCGATTGGCGGACCACGCGGTCGCTGCAGCGGCGCCGCCTCGCGATTAAAAATGGCTTAAGGTCGTGAGTGAGGCAGAGACCCTCCTGCTGCAGGACATCCTAAGCTTTCCGAGCGTGTGGTCAAACACTGTATGCTGGCGGGAAGTGTATCACGCGGTCTTGGGCGCTAACTCTTGCACTAGCGCAATCGGCGCTTTGAAAAGTCCGTCAAGCGTGATGACAGAACATCGCGAAGCATAGCATCCATGCGTCTCTGGTCGGCAGGCCGGTGGTCGTCCTGAGATGGTCAGAACGGACGCACTCTCGCAGTCCAGCCTATCCCTTCGAGCGCGAAAATACAAACAATGGCCACATCACGCGAGCTGCAATGGAGCTGGACAGATGCGCCGACAACGCTGTTGCTATAGAGCCTACTGTGTCGCGGTCTCGATCGCAATCAGAAAATGTGACCTTCACAGGAGGCACCTCGGTGTCTCCACAATACTAGGCTTGAATGTATCCATGATAGCGCACAAGACGAGCTCTCAAGCACACTCACGCCGCCACGCACGCTGAAAAAGTTTCGGAATACATCACAAGTCTGCCGCGACCTTGGTGCCCAGGTTGGCTAGATGATGCCGCCGCACGCGAGGATATTAAGTCTCGCCTTCTGATCCTCTTCAGGTATCGACAGCGTGCTTGAGCACTCCTCCTCCTGTACGGACACTGGCCATGTGTCACATGGGAATTCATTTTGCAAATTGCAGATCACATGGAGCAGTGATGCATGGCATGCAGTAAAGGCCAAATTATACACGTTCGCCAAGCCACACGACGGCTAGCGCTACTGCCTTTCATGCGTGCGGCCAGAGATCTGCGGGCGCGGCAGGATTGTGCGCGACCGCCTTTCGGCGGTGCGGGTGTCAGGAGAGCCGTCTGAGCTCGCTGGCTGCAAGCTTTCAGACTTTCCGCGTGCTCAGCTAGCGAAATGTGATCAGTCGTCGCGTTGTGACCGGTGTGCGAACGAGTATGACTAGCATGGGGACGAGGTCAACTTTCGACTGTCGTCTTGCACACTCGCGATGCGGAAGTCTCGTCCAAAAGCGCCATGTCCAGATCTCTCCGAGACTCAGACATACTTGTCCTGCAACTCCAAGAGAGCAAGTTCAAGGATTGCATCCAGACTTTGGAGAGGTCAGGCTCTGACCCAATCTCAAAACAGCTTGTGGGAGCTCAAAGAGACCTGGCAGACAT